TGACGAATGTTGCACAATATTTTGCACTCAATATCAAAACTTTGGTTTGTACCTTCCAAATCTAGGTTAAAATCCTTAATAGCAGCAATCATTCCATCTGAAAATATTCCCTTGTACACTAAACCAATACTGCCTCTGCCAATTAGTCTCTCTTCACCAAATTTATTTGTAGCATTTAGTACTTCATAATATGAAATTCTTTTGATACTGACAGGGGAAGTAGACGGAGCAGGAAGAAGTATATTTCTACTATGAGTTCTTATCAAATAAACCACAGTAATGGCCAGACTCAATACAACAGCAATTGATGGTAAAATTACTTCAAGAATTCGGTATTGCTTGATAATCGAGTTGTATTACCTGTGCATGACTTGATCTTAAATTGAGATGCTCCACACAATTCTCTGTTTCCAATGAAAAAATCTGAGGTAAATTTCTTAAAAGGCCATCCATTTGGAATTTCACCAATGAGTTCATTGAATGAAACATTGAAATACTCAAGGTATTCAAGTTTCTCTATTGACTTGGGGATTACACCATCGAGTTTGTTCTTTGATAAATCCAATAAAATCAGATTACCAAACGACTGAGGTATAGTACCCTGTAATCGATTGTTTGACAATGTTAGATTTTCCAAATTCTGAAGTTGTTTCTCTATTGACTTGGGGATTACACCATCGAGTTTGCTCTTTGATAAATCCAATATCTTCAATGAAATCAGATTACCAGGTATAGTACCCTGTAATCGATTGTTTGACAATGTTAGATTTTCCAAATTCTGAAGTTGTCCTATAATGCTTGGAATATCAACTGAGAATTTATTTCCAGATAGATATAACCCTCTTATGCTCTTAATGTTGCCAATTTCTGGTGCCAGCGACCCGTTCAACAAATTATGAGCTAAACTCAAAATCTGAATTTCCTTGTTATTCCATAGTGTGGATGGGATAGTGGACGTTAATGAGTTGTAATCTGAATAAATTTCTAGTAAAGAGGTAAGAATTCCAAAACAAGTTGGTAGCTGTTGAGAAAGCTGATTATTCCCCAAATCAAGAAGATACAGATTTACCAAATTGCAAATGTTGACAGGTACTGACCCCTCTAGTTTATTGACATCAAGTCTCAGCTTTTGCAATTTTCTTAGTTGACCCAACTTGCCTGGAATTGTTCCTGTCAATTCATTGTCTTCAATGCGTAACACGATCAAGTTGCTCATATTACCAATTTCATTTGGAATGATACCTTTAATATCACAATTATCGGCAGAGAAAATTTCAATAGATGCTGACAAATTACCTAAGGATTTTGGTAAGATTCCGTTAAAGGAATTTACTCCCATCTTTTTACTCTTCAACTTCCGTCAATTTTGCAATGAAGTAAGAAAATCCAATTCCAGCATTGAAGGATCATTGTCAACTGATTATATTCAAAACTTAGCTTCTGTAGGTTCTGTAAATTCCCAAGATTCATGGGTACTCGTCCACTGAAGGAATTGGCTTCAAGATCCAACTTAGTAAGCTTTGAAAAATTTGAAATAGAGGCAAGAATTTGTCCACTCAATTGATTGCCACCAAGTAAGAGACATTCAAGGTTAGAGAGCCCATTGGCAATTGAGGATGGAAGATTGCCGGAGATACTATTTTTACTCAAAGAAAGTGCTTGTAACTTGGAGAGATTGAAGATGGATTCAGGTATTTGACCCTGAATTCTATTCCTATAAATAAACAATTCCTTCAAATTTGATAAACTGCCAATTGAATACGGAATTGTACCTATGTTGTGGTGTTCGTCAATACAAATTAATGAATACCAAAAGTGTTAATGAGTACAGGTACCTGTTAAGATTTTATAATCCAATGATAAATATTGAAGTAGTGATGAATTCCCAATTTCATATGGAATGCTTCCCATGGATAGATTTT